GTGGAATCATGGGTAGAAGAAAAGAAGTGGGTCACCGAATGAATACGGACGGAAGGATAAATTCGCAGAGGGAAAACACAATAGGAAGAGCAAAACGAGGCATTTTAACGAATGAAACGAAAGAGCAAGAAGGCATACAGGACAAACGAGTAGAAGTGGAGGGGAAGAGAATGAAAGTGATAACTATATATGACAGAGAAGGAATCAAAGAGTTAAATACTATGATAGATGAAAGGGTGGACGACAGGCAGTGGAGTGAGATTTAAATTCCGGTGCAGGAAATATAGAAGGAGACAAAACACAGGATAGAAAGTGAAGAGGTAAAGAACGAACAAAGATGGAGAGTTGTTACTGGAATTAAAAGAAGAATTGATTGCTATTAAACGGAAACTATAGGGGGACAGGGACGGGAAATAACAGGGAGGAAAAGGGAGGTCGGTAATTGATTAATAAACGGAAAGAATCTTGGAAGCAATAAAAAGAGGTGAGGGAAGAAGAAAAGTACAAAAGTATATGTAAGGAATGAAGAAGAAATCAGGGAAAAACAGAGGACTTTTGGAAGATGATAAAAGGAGGAAAATGGAAAAACATAGTAAGTGAGAACGAAATACAAATAGAGGACTGGATGGAGGCGGCAGGTACTACAAGCAGAACAAGAGAAAGCGAGTGGTATAGAGGTCAAGGGAAGAGAGGAGGTGGGTGGAGACCAGATATCAAGAGAAGAGATGGAGCATCAATTGAAGAGAGCGGCAAGAAGGAGCAAAATAAGAACTGAGGAATAGATTTTCGCTACAGATTCATAGTGTCTGTTAAGGAGAATCTTAAGAAACAATTAAACAAGATGGAATGGAGGAGGACTACCGGAATAATGGTAGGAAGGGGTAATGATACCGCTTTACCAAAGAGGTGACAGGAACTCTGTGGAAAATTACAGGGGAATGTCGATAATAACGAGGTTGGAAAAATAGATAAGGATTATATGGATGGAAAAGGCGTAGGGTAAGGATAGCAGCGAAGGAGTCACTTATCCCAACCTTATTGGTTTTCTACATAAGAGATATGGAGAAAATATTAATACAGGATTAAAGTTAATTAATAGTGATGGGAAGAAGGGAGACATGGTCCCTGGCTACGCGGATAGTACAGTGTTATTGACAACAGAGGAAAAACAGATGAAGGAAATGATGGAAAAAATAGAGCTTGGGAATGAAAACGAATGGAATTAAATGTAGAAAAAAAATATGATAAGATTTTGGCAAGAGGGAGTAGGAAAAGGATAATAGAATGAAAGTGGAATGAGGAAGTAAGAGAATTTAAATACTTAGAATACTAAATTAGTCCAGTCAAATTAGCGCAATTTTGGACAAATAAAAACATTAATATGGTATACACATTTATATTGGGACTTTTTATTGAACATACTAAAAGTCCCTGTCAAAATCTGTTGCGCTCGAGACGCCATCTTGGAAAAACGGTACACTTTTCCAGTTTTTTGCCCATGTCTCGGCAACTATTACTGATACGAAGAAATAGTTTACATGAAAAACATAGTTTACTAAATTCCGTATAAAAAAGAGTATTTACATTTTTTTGTATCTCCAATACTTTAACTGTAATCTTACGTTGAATGCGTCAGAACGTGTTTAGGCCCCGTATCGTAGTTATAGGAAGGAGACCGTCTTTTTTATGACTACACCGAAAGCTGTAAAAGCACCAAAAAATGAACAGAATCGTCTTGCGATAAAGCATTCTAGCAATGACATAATGTTTCATGATACGATCTGAGACAATTTTTTTTTCGGGGCTCAAAAAAAGGCCTTTTTTTTAATCAAAAATCGACTACACCAAAATGTCTCGAGAGAACACTTTTTCTTATTAATTTTGGGGCGTAGAATCCAAAACAATTCGTACTTTTTCGATTAGACTTCTCAATCAAAAGTTATAGACTAGAAACCAATTTCGAAAGAAAATTCAAAGGGCTGTAACTTTTGAACTAGTAGCCCAATCTTCGAACTGTTCTTGGAACTGTTTGAAATTATGGATTCTACAGGGTACATTCTAAAAGAAAATTTTTTGTCCCGGTCGATCTGAGACAATTTTTTTTTCGGGGCTCAAAAAAAGGCAGTGTATAACCTTCCTTTTTTTACCAAAAATCGACTACACCAAAGTGTCTCGGGAGAACACTTTTTCTTATTAATTTTGGGGCGTAGAATCCAAAACAATTCGTACTTTTTCGATTAGACTTATAAAAGGGACGCAGAAAAGGGACACGTGTGGAGAATAGGAAAGAAAAATTTCAAAAATGTTTCCAGATTTTTTGGCGCAATGATGAGAGAGGTGCTGATGTACAGAACGGAGGTATGCGGATGGAAGGAATGGGATAAATTAGAAGGAATACGACGAAGACTGCGACTAAAACAAGACACCAAATTGTAAAAAGCAAAACTGAAAAGATAAGGATAGAGTGGGGGCGCAGAGCAGTAAGATTTACCTACTTCAGCTGTCAGCTGTGGTTCCAATGCCCTTCACTAACGTCAACCCCTCCAAAAACTCCACCATATAGTCACCGCCCTCTTTCTTATGCAGGCAACATAATTATGTGTGAAGCAAAATCTGACCTTCGTTATGGTGAGTATACTCGTATTAACCATATGAGAAAGTTAATAATTGTGACAGAGCACTTGATATAGGCATGGAATCCATGAAAAAATCCAGAGAATTCCCTTCAGCAAAATTTCGTTGCGTAGAAAGAATGCGGTACTGTCCTTCAGGTGGAGCGAAGGGAATGGTGGAGAGAGACAAAATTCAAAACGTCAATTCTGACCAGCTTTTTCATAGAATGCTTCTTATGAAAAAGAGTGCCGAAGAACTCAGAGAATTCTTAACATATGAACTCAAGGTACCCCTACCTGCATTTTTTGATGAATTTACCTTGCGACAAGAGACTACCCTGATGTCAAGCTTTCCAGTATTTAACGTTGGAAAAGGGCTGATAAGGTAAGTTAACCGATCTAACTGATATGCTACTTTGTTATGTTGGACTTTTTATGTAGATACGTTGTGGATTCCTGCTGCAAGAAATTTCTCACTCATTTAAGGCAAGTTTCTGTAAGATGTGACTGTAATATGCATGGGCTTTAATCTGAGTAGAGGCAATTGTGCGCAAAAAAAATGCATAAGAATGGAAAAAAGTTATCAAAGTTGTTAATTATTTTAAGCTCCTTCCAGGTCAATTCCAGGTGTACTGGAATCCTGAAACTGAAAACAATTAACAGCAATATCGTTTAGTATTTAAAAATGACGTCCTCCCATCGCTCTAAACCCATTCTGGTTTTCCCTAGGAAAATTCCAGTTTTTCTAGGCTTTATGACACTGGAATGCACAATATAAAAAATGTGATCGAATGAAAATTGTGTTATTTACTTAAAATTCTACTTTTTCCAGGACATCCCGGATATCCCACTAGGAAGGTCGAGGGAGCTTTTTAGCGTCATCCTGGGAAGGTATCCGAACATATTCGAAAAGGTCTCAGTAAAAATTATGGCAACAATTCTGAACCCTTCATAAAGAAAATTTTAATCCGAAAGGCACAATAAATTATTGGAAAGACAATAGCTTTCTATTAGCAGGCAATGATTGATCAAATTCTTCCAATCCTTGGAGTGCTTCAGATTCTTTCGATCCTGGATATTTCTTTGAGCCAATGGAAAAGAATTTGGAACCGTTTAATTACCTACCTCCTATAATTTTGAGAAATCCTTTGTTTTAGAGGAGTTTAACCTTTAAGGTATTCATTCATCTCTTTACTCGTAGGAAAGTGGTTCTCGGTTTCATAAGTAACATTTAATTTGGTTAGAAATGAAACACTTAAATGATTTAATGATCTGTTATGATTAAAAAACGTTGAACTCGCTGCCATAATACAAATATAATATCTTCCATCTGTTGCTTCTTGCTTATTTTATGAATTATTTAATGTGCGTGTGTCAAAGCCATTACAATCATTACTCCATTTAATACTTGACTAGATTTATTTAATGAATAAATTATTGAGATTCTCTTTATTACGTCTGGTACGCTTAAGTTTATACCAAAGACTATTAATTTATTTATTGGCCCTTCGAAACTTGTTTGTTTGATCATTGCTTTAGGTAAATGAGATTTAGTTTTATTTTTAGTGCTCTTTTTACTTGGCGTCGTAATATTAAAATGATCATAACGCTATTTAAACCCCGAAAGACCGGCAAACCGACTCTGAAGATGGTGAAACTGTTGCGACCGGGAAGGTGATGGTCCTCATGGACAAAAGCTTGTAGCTGCTTCGCTAAAGGTTCTTCTATCCTTTACGACCCCAGTGTTTGCCTTTTTTGAGCTACTTCCCTGCCATCAGACCGGTATCGCTTTTCCGTGTGCGTTACCTGGTTCCTTCAGTAGATGGGAAGTCGGGTTGCTTAAAATCTCCTGGTTCCTGCCTCATCTTTTTCAGCTTCTAGCGCGTTGCCCCGGTGAGTTTTGTAGGCTCTCCAGTACCAGGTGCCTGAGGTGCTCCGGTAGTAGCTTGTTGGGTTTTTGGTTATTTTCGTGACTCATATGCGTCCCGCGAGTATGGGGGAATAAACGTCCGCCTGGTATTACAAAGTTGGGGTCGATAGATCATCTGTTCAGTGATGCATTCCCTCGGTCCCTTAGGATTTAAGTTATTTCCTGAAGTTGCTTCCTATTGGTCGGGGCGGTAAAGTCGTGACCTCCCGCACCATTCCGAGCTCAACAGGTTCGTGCATGGTATATCGACATTGTTGACGTACATCGAACTCATGTCGGCACCGTTTAACCCTGTACAATCCCTTGGCCACGATACGACAGCCGGCCGAAGTAGCGGGTCCGCTGGTTACTACATGCACTTGGTTGGGTGCCACCCCTCAGGGGATAGATAGTAGCTTACAATGTGGTGTTAAATAAAGGGCGTGACCTTTAGATGTACATTTGTCGTGTAACCACAATTCGAAACTAATCAATAAATATATTGGACACATTATCACACATTTTTATACACTTATTTAAACAATTCTCCCAATATTATAGTAAAGCGAAGGACGTGAGCCACTTTGCTGAAACTAGACAGATAATAGCAGTAAGAGATGATTCTAATAATGGCGCCGCATTGCATAGATCCGTATCGCAAACTCTGCACTCGTCGACTCTGATCTCAGGGGGTGGACTTTTGCAATCTGCAACCATCTCACTAGATGGCTTACTTCCTGCCGGAACCGCAACGCAGCTCGAATTGGCAAAGCTGATGCTTCGAGCGGTATCTGAAAACGCCAATGCAAGATGACAAAGCTAGTTTTTGGAAGAACCACTCACTTCGAGCAGATTTGTAGTAACAAACGAAGGTAAAGTCCGCAGGTGGTGTTCCGCACGGGGACGTGGCGGGTTTCGCACTTTTGGCACAGCCGCCAGGTTTTTCAGAATCGCATTTGTAACACGTGAGCGAATAGGCTACAAAATGTATTTACGATCAATCATTATCAATTGGTAATTGGTGCTCACCTGTGCAGAAAACCATGGAGGCGAAAACAAACACTTGAATTAAGGCCATCATTTTTAATTGTGGTAACTCAAAAGAAGCTGGATTCACTCTGGCAAAGCAGATAGTGAGAATAAATTTAAGTGGTATTTCGAAGCGATTTTGCAGGTTTGCTCTATCGTTACGCATTTGCAGAATATTTATCTATCAGCACCTGCGACTGGTTTGGCGATAAAAATTCCTCATACAAAATGCAAGATATTGCGGTTTCCTTTAGGTACTATTATCACGTATACAGGGTGTACGTTTTGCAATAATTCAAACATTGAGACCTAACCATGCTATAGTGAGTGTGGGTCGTGGATGCGGCTTTATCTAGAACAGTACTCAATCGAAAAAGCCATGTGCAGCGTTTATCTAGTGTGTGGCTTTATCGGTCAAAGGAAAAGCGCTAACATTCCGATATCTATTTCGCATTAAAATGTTTTCAAACGATTTATAAGGTTCGTGTGACTCAAAAATCGTGGTCAAAGGATTTCTGTAGTTTTCAGAATTAAAGCTGTTCCGATTTCTCGGACTCCCAAAATTCCTCAGATTGGTTAGCTTCAGATTATTCACATTCATCAGATAGTTGGGTTTACTCATATCTTTTTATCGAAATAGTCTGAAGGACAGCAGTTTTTCCGCTAGAACTAACTCCTTTTGCGCAACTGAATAGCTTTTTTTATAAACAAATCGATTTGATAGCCATTTGGTTGATGTATTTGAATCCTAAACAAGCCGTGCTTAGGGTTACTCGCAATTTATTAGTTGAAATTTGTTTGCTGGAAGTTTTGCAGTATGCAAATGTCCAAAATAACCTTTATAGCTTAGTTTTCACAGCCAAAAAAGCAGGAATTATATGTCTTTAACCTTAAACCTTAAACGGTTGCCGTTTAATGTAGATCTAATAACACTCCGTATACACAATAGAGGTGGACAGTTTTGATTGATAAACTTGATTTTTAACGTATCTAGCCACTCCAAATTTAGCGCAATGAAATATTTTGTGACTTTAACCCTTTAATCGTAACAATTTACTTAAATGAGAACACTGTAGCGTTTCGACTCATCCGCTTGAACACTTGTTTCTTATTTTAACGCGTTTTCTTTTTCAGAAGTTCTGATGAAACAGTGGAATCTTCTGTTTATAAGCAAATCGCTTTTATTGATTCTGTCCGTATTTGACTTACACATTTTTCGAATTCTATTGGTTTAAATCTTTTTTCTGGTAGATCTGCTGCTCTGCGACATTTTTCTTGCCCAATTCTATATGCAAAGTGAATAGCCTTGTCTTTATGCATAAATCGATTTTATGGCTCAATGTTCGTTTATAATGGTCTTGTAGTTTATACATTTTTTGAGTTCTACAAGATAAAATCTACTAAACATCTTTTTTCCGGTGGATTTGCGACTACTCACTTGCTCACTTTTATATTCAAAGTAATGTAAAAAAGGGCTCCCCAAAAAATCTGATGCGAAAACTCTATCCGGGTCGCACAAAGGAGTCGCATAAACACATAATTAATAGATTGTTAATAACAAAAGTTTCTCGAATAACTGATAAAAAACACAACTTTCCCCATACTTCTGTTTTTAACCACTTATTCGATTCAAATTGACCCCACTTCGAGCTTTACCATAACATGTATATCTTCGTTTCTTAAACAAACGTTTATTCCGAAAAACAAAGCTTGTTTGGATAAATTACTTCGCACTCAGGCGTTCGACAAATAAAATAAGAAAATCCTAAAATTACTTAAATTTCTTTCCTCTTTCAATAATCCCAATAATCTGGTCGTAAAAAGGTTTGTGATAACACACAAACGCTGACAACTTCACACAAAACTTGATGAATAGAATGCGAATTGGCGGTCGGTTGTTCAGACAGTACATTTAACTTTAATTACAATAGAACAGATGGTCTTTTGAGGTACTAACTGCTTGCTTTTTCAATTTGACAGACTCTAGGACCGACTTCTTCTATAAGACGGACAATCCGTTTTAAACTTCTCACACAGGTTTAGTTAACTTGCTTCTGCATAATGTAAAATGACAGAATATTTCAGTAATTTTTTGAGTGTTTGTCGTCGGGAGGAGTTGCGTACGCTAAAGACCGATGACATCCAAGAAAGTGACTATATTGGTCATATTAGATACAAAAGCTACTAAAAAGGTATTCGCGGTTTCCTCTAATAATATGGTTGGCGATCCTCTTCGGATCTATAGAAAATATACGACTCTACGATCACACCGCATGAGCGAAAGTAGCCGAATACCTTAAAAACCTGATCCGCGAAGCTTCACAGGACGTGATAATCAAATCCGGCGAATTGCCCGAATCAAAAAATAGCGTAAAGAAACGTACACGCTTTGCAACCGTCGCGAAACATCCTCGTTTTTTTTTGTTGATTCTAGTATTTACCGAAACACCACTTTCACAATAAAATAATCTCCTTCCTCAAAATCTTTTAAAAACGTTGCCAATCATAAGTAGACATGATTACGTCAACTTCCAAGAAACGCGTCCCCATTTACGCCGAACTAACGCGCACAACGTAACATCTGCATCTCCGTGATCTCTTAGGCTGACCTGCGCTAATTAAATTCGTTACATAAAACTCTTTATCGCAAAACAACCAGTTAAGAACATTTATAACGTATGCACCAGATTTGCCCATATTTTAGCAAGTAATTACAAACAACTTTAAAAGGAACAGTGGACACTGCTATAACGAATTCAAATACAAACAACCAACTTTGTGCTTATTCGTAAATAATCCCCGAGATTTCCAATTTAATAAATTGAAACATTCTCATATACAGAGTTCTGGTCATTATATTTTTGGTGTTTAAACCAAAAGAAAGTCAACACAACAGTTTTTACTCAAAATGTAAATAATAACAAAATTGTCACATGAAATTCAATGCTTAATACAAGAAAGAATAAGATGTAAACGAGTAAATAAAACGCTAGACCCGCCATTAATGAAGTTCGGCTCGGATTCGGGTCCCGTTAATTGAAGCTAACTTTTTCCCCAAGCTTCGTTATGAAAATTCTTAGTTCGGGAGCTGCGCAGAACGATTGCTGTATATGCAGAGCGTTTCATATTTTCATGACCTTTTTTTGTGCACAAATTGATTCTATGGCCCTATCTCCATTTCTAATGAATTCTACAGGCTTTAAGATGTTAGAAAACTGTTAGACTAGATTTTTCCTTAATCAATTTTGAAGTGATGATTGGGACCACTAAATACGGGTGACCTTGAAAATTGAACATAAAGTACGGTCGGAGAGGACCATTTTAGACTCGAGGCGGGTTATTTAGCTCCCCAGGTTGAGCTAGGTGGCTATTGCGGTCACCGTTTTTTGGTCATCCAATTTTGGTTTAAATTTTGTATGTGTATTTATATTAGGTATACGAAAACGAAAAGTAACGGGCCGGACTTTTGAACCAAAAATTTGGAGCGCCGTACATTAGGCACAAAGGATGTAAAGCTATCAAACACTTTTTTTTTATCGATTCAGAGCTAGGAAGCTGTTTTGTCAAGAATTTGCCACCTGTTTTTTTATGATATTACTATCAGCTTTTTTCAAGCTTTGACACAGGTGGCGTAGAGGAACATGGTTTCAAACATCTTCCATTTTTTGGATTTGATCCAGTTTCTGAAATATTTCTCCTGGAAAATATAAATCCGCTGTTTGTTATACTATAGAAAAACGTTCAGAGGCTAATTCGTAAAAAAGAGGAAGAAATTCGACAACAACTGCTCGACAACGGCTGTTAATACGCCACAATCATGAGATTTTCGTGACTTTTAGGCAACTGTTTTTTTTTTATCTTAATTTCCGCCTTTATAGGCTACTATGGGTACCTTTGATTATTAGTTTATATTCAAAGCTTTGATTATAAAATACAAACTATATTCAAAGATGGGTACTATAATGAAAAAAGTGTGGTATAATGCACTAAAAATTGTCAAAATCCTTAAATTTCAAACGGGCTCAATATCGATTCAATGATTAACGTTATGAGCATCAAGTGGTGCCATGAGGCACGTTATAACTTTAGATATTAAATGATATGGTAATCTCTTTAAAAAACTCTTTGAATATGTCATTGTTAAGAATCTCATTAAAATTTTGTCAGACATCTTGGAAATCTGTTAGAATTTCCACTAGGAACCTCAATTTTTTACACCTAATGCAAAAACTTACAATTAGTTGCACCATTCGTGGGATTACAGATAGAATTGCATTCCACAGGTTGTGCATTAATAACAATAAAAAGCACGTTAGCTTTCATGTTCTATTGACCAATGTAAGTACTACACGATTACCTACAGATCAATAACTAACTATATCGAGCTGGTGTGACCTATGTATGCTTGACGCTTCCCTGTAATTACCCTGTAATGTAATTACGTTGAACAAACTCATCGACACGCCATGTTAGGCACTCATGTTTATTGTAAAACAGTTTCGTACAAAGTGAAAATACAACTGAGATATCATAAAATTAACGTGCCAGATATTTTACTAAGAAAAAAAGGGGTAATAAGTTAAGAAGAGATGTACTGAGTAAAGGAGCAGAATTGCATAGTTCTGAGGCACAGACTTTGCATTCGATCACATTGTGTCCAGGGGGTGGATTTTTGCAATCTGGAACAACAATCCGATCCAGTATACTTCCCTCTTTAACTTGTAGGCAGTCGGACTTAGAGATGTTAACTTTTCTCTCTACATCTGAAATTGTCAACCGTCACGGGCCATTTCTGAATTGAACAATTCCAAAAGTTACTTACGGTGGAACAGCCTGTAGCTGCAGAATGTTGTAAAGCCCGGCTCTTCGCGTCCGCACTCGACCGAATTAGGTTTCGCCTCTTTTGCGCAACCGAACGTTTTTTCGGATTCGCACTTGAAGCAGCGGCGCGAGTGCGCTGCAAAAACGGATTTAAGTAGAAATCGGCATCTACTCACTGTGCATAACGCTATAGTTACTTACCCACGGAAAAGACGACGGTAATCAGTACAAAGGATTGAATTACTATACCCATCGTTGGGGATCCTCAACAATCTAGAGACCAAGGCAGGCTATCGATAACTTATGCATTGCACAAATACACTAGCGCCCGTCGTGACGTGTCCTAGTCGGTAAGGGTAAATTGTTCAAGTTGTCATAGTTACCGATTATTTACAGTGCCCAGGTTCGTTAGGCGCAATGTCAGGATTTTGTAGAATTCTTTAATGCGCATAATGTGAATTTGTTTCTGTATTTATATTGATAAACCCAACCTAGAGATTGTTTGTCCACAGGGGGTCTAAGCATTTTCCGGAACGTACAATGTTTTATCTGAAACCGGTGGTACAATTTTCATCGTAAAGTTAACAGAACAAAGACCGTAAAAAAACTGAAATTTTTTGACTAGTGCCAATTTGTGTTTTCGGCAAACTATTCCCTTGAAAATTATCTCATTAGATTCCGGCATACTTATGTTGGCACAAATCTCGTAAGCGTTTATCCGCTGAAAGCTGAATGAAAATTACTCCAAGAGCATTCAGCATTAGATTACATTCCATATATTATGCGATGTCCAGCAAAGGACTACTGAGCAATAAATAACGCGATGTAGAAATTAGATGCTATAATATTAGCTCAGAATGCCTCAAAGAAGCAGAGAGGGTGCTCCTCCTCACAGTCTCCTATAAGAGCAGCTTGTATTGCATAGAACGGGAGCTTTAATAAGATTTGGAGAGCTTCATGCAAGAGACTTTCTTATTTCTGCGAGGAATAGTGTACCTTGGGCTGGTTGAAGAGGACCGCCTCCCTTATCTGCCCCTGGGATGGCGGTTCTCTAAAAGTGCAGAGACACGCTAACAAGAGTGCTTGATGCTATACGGGCTCCTGGATGACACGGTCACGATTTTGAGGCACCCCCAGAGGCAAAATACTGGTTGCAGGACGAGCCTTTGGAGGACGTTCTCTACAGGTATGACGGAGAGCTCCACCCTGTTGCGTTGCGACGTATGGGGCTAAATCGAGCTCCAAAGGGCGTCGGGATTACTGCTGCCGTCTTCGGAGGTCGAGGAACACGCCCACGAGCTTGTTGCTCATGTGGAGATTCTTGACTCCGACCATCGGTCGGGACCGGGGGAATCTAGTACATCATTGATAGGCGAGGTAAGAAGGCGACCTGTTTAATATGCCGTCAACTTGCTGGGAAGTTGCGAATGCCTCACACAAGAACTTTGGGTTTGTAGGGACGCGTAAGAGGTCTAGGTCAGGTGTAGATCCTTTTTATTATAAGAGGGACAGCCAACTGAACTCTGAAGAAGGAAATGTCTGCCCGGGGGAAGGTAGCCCTGGGAGCGTTCTTAGATATCGAGTGTGTGTTTAACAACGCCACGTATGATTTCATGAGTGAGCTGCTGAAGGCATTGATGGATCAATCGTAAGATGGATCCGCACCTTGCTCGGAAGCAAGGTCAGTATATCCTCAATCGGGACTACGGAGATAAGCTTCTCAGTCACTAGAGGATGTTCGCATGATAGATGATACAGTATCTGATGCTAGCGGGGCTCCTCCGCACTTTGAACCAGGACGGAGCGTATTCAAAGGGATACGTACGCAGACGATCTCTAACTGGAAAGGAGTACTGAAGGGGGTCTTGAACAGGTGGATAGATGGTGCAGTAACCATGAATTCTCAATTAACCCGAAAAGTTTGTTCCATTTACGAATACAAAGAGAGCGGACCGTGATGGGCTCACTCTTCGAGGACGTCAACTGCATCTAACCGGGTCAATGAAATAGTTGGGAGTCATTCCCCGTCTGACCTGGAAGGAGCATATTGAGCGAATAAGAAGAAAAGTTCCTATGGCTAGCATAGATACAACCCGCACAACTGCGCACGCGCGATTCTGCCCTTTTGTATCTAAAAATATGTGTGTCAAATTTGGTTGCAGTCGGTTTAGCCATTTAGCCGGAAATGAGAATACAAAATGACAGAGAGACAAAGAGACAAAGGGACAGAGGGACAGAGAGACAGGGAGACAGAGAGACAGAGATACAGTGAGATAGTGAGACAGTGAGACAGAGAGACAGAGAGACAAACAGACCGATCGACATCATCGAGAATTTGTTTGATTCAGATTCCTAGTGCTTGAAAACGTGTATTTCCGTAAAAAAAAGTGGGGGGCGGGGAGGTCTTTTTTACCCTAATTCAATACCCCCTTACGGTGCGGGTAGGAAAAAAGGCACTGCATGTCTATAGCATGCCACTACATATCTACCGGCATGCAAAAGAGCTTTTGGCTGTACATGGGTCTTGAATTCTCGACTAGTACAGGGTTATCATAAAATAATGGATATATTTTAAATTATTATAACTTTTAAACAAATTAAGTTAATAACAAAAAATAATTGCTTGAGAAATAGGATTTAGTATGCCCAAAACCAGTTACGGCAATTGCTCAATGTCAATATGACCTCCATTTTGCTGTTGTAAGATTACCAACCTTTCCTTCAAATTGTACACAGCATTCCGTAACATTTTCATGAAGAACCTCTGCAACTTGGACATCACTAATTCTTGGTCTTCCCGATCTTGGTAGGTCAATTACAGACCCTGCTCTTTCAAATGTTTGTATCAAATTGCGGTACGGTTTCATTTGAACTCTACATTTACTTGTGTTTTAATTTCAAACTAAAACTCCAAATTCAATGATTTCGTTTTGACACTCGTGTCAACAATTAAAATAACAACGATGTTGTTTCCTATAGATGCAATAAAATCCCATTCCTTAAGCAACTAGATTTCGTTTATATTTTGTTATTAACTTAGTTTGTTAAAAAGTTATAATAATTTAAAATATATCTCTTATTTTATGATAACCCTGTATATTGGTTTTACACTGTAGTGCTATAGGGTTGACTTGTATGGCGGTGTGCCATGTGTAGAGCAACCTAGAGGAAGACTTCGGCGATAGAGCGGATAGCGTTCGTTCATCTAGATCCGGAGAGTACGTTAACTGAAATAGAGGCCGCGCGCATTAATACGCCTATTGCCTAAGGAGCGGATTGATACTGGTGTAGACACACCCGAGAGAGCCCGTATATCGCTTACACGAACCAAGCCATCGTGAGGTAGCTAATTATCGTTGCATTAACCTCCCTTCCAACATAGGAAAGGGGCGAAGCTACAGTTTCTCGAATCGAAGAACCTTTCTAAACCTGTGGGGGCAAAGGCAGCGGTGTGAAAAGGAACCATCTTATTTCATCATGAACATGTAATTTTCGGTGCATATTTAGATTTGTCGCAAAATTTCGCTTCTGATGAGTCCCATCTCATTGAAGTCTTAATACAAAAATTTTCGCTAACTCAGAAAAACCGAGTCTGACCATAAGAACCCATGTTAAAATACCCTATGTTTACTGTCAAATATCTCAGAAACGGCACATAGGAACTCTTTTTTTACCATTGGAAAGTGCGTCTCTCAGAGAATAAGTGACCAATTTTCATCAACTTCTGGTTACTTTTACCTAGGCGCTGTAACTACTTTAAGGTCAATAGTACTGAAAGTGAAAATACTGTGTATAGAAACGGCTCTAACTAATTCCTCGATATTCGGTAGCGGGTAGGGGGTAAGCATCTAAATTGGTAAACTTATTAGTCGCTTGTGAATAGTCGACAACCATTCTCTTTTTGTGATTTTCATTTTTAGTAATTACAACTTGTGCACGACAAGGAGATTTACATTATTCGATTATTTCTTCTAACAAAAATTTTTTAATTTCACTCGCAATAAAAGCTGCATCGTCAATCGAAAATTTTCTTGATTTAGTTGCTATTGGTTTGCATTCGGGCGATAAGTTTGAAAATAAGCGAGGAGGCTCTATTTAACAGACGCAAGAGAACAAATGCTGGTTTCCAAATTTTCAGTAGGTAGATAATTTTTCACCGCCGAAATGAACAGTTACCTAAATATTTATGTTGTTTTAAAATATCATGTCCAATAATCATATCGTCACAAAATAGATACCTGAGATTGAAGTAGGTACTGATGTTCAAGAACGTCAGGTTAATAAAGCAAAAACCAACACTACATGACTTTAACGATATTTGAGCCATTGCAACGTATCCTTTACTAATGTGGATTCGTAAGCAAAACTTTGATTTAAGTAAGTTTCAGAACATCCACTATCTACTAGAGCTACAGCAGCAATGACACGACCTTGCAAAATGACTTTCTTCCACATTGATGACATAGACTGTTGCGTGCGGGACAAATGGAACGAGCATGTTTTTTATTTCCACCGAAATAACAAATTTGGTATTTTTTAGTGGCATCTTACGACTTCATTATGGTTGATCGATGGTTCTGAAGGCTTCTGAGTTACATTCACAAAATTGGTAGAACTGCTCTGACATTATTTCTGCATGTTTTTGAGCAGATTCAAGAGATACTGCTTGAGTAGGAGCTTTTTCTAAAGTAAAATTGCTTTTTTCTAGTAAACGCTGCCGGATTTCAGAAGAAGAAAGACCATTTTATGAATGCATATCTCACGTAACAATCGCAATAAGCTCCTAAGCGCTAACAGATTTAAAGTTACAATCCTTGCTCAGCTTTTTAAGTAGTTGAAGGAACTGACTTACGGATTCACCTGGTTGCAGTTTACGAGAAGAGAGAAAATGCCTTGCAAAAACTTCATTTTGTGGTTTTATATAAACAGTATCCAGAACAGCAGTGGCTTCCGCGTAAGTCTTACTTTCACTACAAAACTCAAAAGTAGTGCGACTTACAGATTATGTTCGTTAACAGTTGTAGTTTTTATTTATCTTCGATATTCTGTACAGAAGCGATAAAATTCTCAAAAGTTTCTATGCAGTGGGTCCATTCTTTGGCGGCGTTTTGAGTACTAGGATCGGAATCAAATCTTTCTGGTCCATTATTGTAGATTAAATTGTGATAAAAGATTAGATCTTGGGAATTAAGGCTTTAATCTACAAAATGTAGCAGTTTGACAACTAAAGAGATTTGCTGATAAATTTATAAATTGAACAATTGAAAGTATATAATCATGCATCACTACAGTGTATTGTACTTTCCCACCCCACCGATGCCGCTTAGGCTCAACCCCGTTCAGCTGTGTTTCCTTCTATCGTGGAGTTGTTTATCTATATTAGTCTCACAAACAGCGGAAGAAAAAAAGGCCCATCTCCACAGAATCCCGGATATGGAAATAACCCGCCTTTATTATGATGCTCTGGAGGTTTTAGTATCAATCATCACATGGTATTTCTACGCATCCTTTGCCTTTTGGATCTGTCTTAAACTTTGAGTTACTGTTGAGGTGCTTTCCTCTTAGTCTGGGCGGTTAAATCTAGATCCGCTTCTAGGTTCTAACAGTTCATTTCCATGGTAGCAAATGTAAGTGCAATAGAAGTTATCTACCTATCAGATAATTTTAACAAAAATAGAATAGATCATAGAGAGACTAGATTAATTTTGACCGTTGAAGCGATTTGAAAACGCCAAAGATCACGACGCTAAACACTTTTATTGTTTTCAAGTTCGACATGTAATTGTACATATTTTTACACGTGAACGTCGATTACTAACATGTAAAACCATAAAAAATATAACTTTCGAAAGTTAGTGTACAAATATAGTTTCCGCTTCTGTTAAACTAAATACAGTATTACAATATTATTACAATAAGTACTTATATTTACAATACAGAAATGGGGTTTTTACAACTGAGCGTGTGTGAGCAATGCGTCAACTATTATTGGTATGACATTAGAAAAAATGTGGTAGAAAATTTTGATTTCATCTCGTCCAATGCCAAAAGCGAATTACAATATACACTTCAGTAGGTAGCAGGTACAAAATGGTAACACCTACAACTACAATAAAGTTTTAAAAATATGAGCACTACATTTCACGCATATTCTCTGCGTAATAATTAAAGTCGTAACGCCTTTACAATAAATTTGGTAGGTATATAATTAATGGTAATAAAGCAACATTTATTCTTAAAAAAATGGGCCGAGAGCCTTCGCCGCCCTCAGCTTAGAGCAGAAATGCGAAACAGGCGATTATTAGACCAACTACGGCCATTCCCGTAAATTGCGTCGCCGAATTGCACAGGTTATCGGTACAGGTGTAGCATTCGAGATCCTTATGTCCGCTACCGATCTCCAGTGCGCCAGCTATCAAATTGCAGGCGACCTGTCCAGAGTACGGGGTGCAGTTTCTGGCGACGAATCCGTTTCCTTGCTCGTCTGGAAGTTAGCAGAAATCAGGAGAGGTTTCGGGTTCGCAAGTACTCACCCTTTCCGACGATTTTCACGCACTGAGTGGGAACGATGGATGCAACAGCGTCCAGCACAGAAATTCCGGTTCTCGCCTCACATTCTACCTCGGGATAGGTAAATGATAGCAAACCATAGCCGCACGTGAATCCAGTGCACGAGTAGCATTTAAGAGCGGACGCTGCAAAAGAATTAAGCATGTATGGCACGTAAAACAGTTAACAGATAACAATTACATAACCAGGTCAATGCAAATCGGCGCAAATTTCATGGCAAAAGGATTACCTAATGGCTTTTTGGGGCAAACAAGCAATACAGGGCGTTGATTTCACAACGAACCACCAATTTGTAATTTGTAACGTTGATAAACAAGTATAAATAAATTGTGCACAACTCTTGTGCAGATAAAGCGCATTTTTTAAAACCGAAATAGCTTAATTAATGGTTGCTTTGATTAATGGAGAGCCTCCACCAGTAGATATGTCTCATCGAAAAAATTCATTTGTGGGCACTTTCCTCCAACAAAGCGTTTTCGAGATCTTCGTTTGTGAAGTTTTGACATCACCCATAGATATATTTTTTCCAGACGTCCCAACCGCTCTTTGTGAGTACCATGATCCTCCGACAATCTGTTCTTGAGAATAAGGAACTATTAATTATATCCGATCACTATAAGGAGTCGAAAAAAAGCTACAGTTGGTAGAAATTAATTGCTTTAATTGAGCCCTGTAATTAGAGTACCATGAAGGATATAATCAGTTCCAACACCTCCCCCTCCAATCACCTCTTTTGCGATAAGGAGTCGGAAAGTGTGGCGGTAGTTTGTAGAAAACCGTTTCTTTTGTTGAGACCTTTAATTGGAATACCATGAAAGATAACATTCATTTCTACTCCCTCCCTCCTCACCCCGACCACCTACTCATCTCGGAAAGAAGTCGCGCAGGAAAGTTACAGTTTGTGCAAACCAATTCATTTCGGTGAGACCTTGCATTAGAATACCATGAAAGGTTGAACGTGTGTTCACCCTCGCCCTTGGCAGGCATGCGTATGCAAATTCTGAGACCAGTTGATTGTCGCGTGTTTTACATTCAAAAACAGCACCCCCTTGAAACAGCGAAATTTGATGGCTGTCTGGCACACCTTCAAGATATGGAATATCTATTACAAAAAATTCCAGGACTCTAGGACCATTCCCCTAAAAGTAGATGAAAACCGCAGAAGTGGGTCCCGACCTTGGTTCGAACGGACGGACGAACAAAACGCAAACAATAACACATTTTTTTAATTTTTAAAAAATGTGCTAAAATTGCGGCAACACGTTTAGAATAAGCGTAATGGTTGGTTTACGTTAGTTGGTAGCCACCCCCACTTTAAAATTATAGTATGCACCCTCCAGCAAAGTGACACGTCACTTTAAAGGTCATAATATTCTCTTTATAAACATACCTACAAAATCAAACTTCGATGGTCTATGGTTAAGAATGACGTTTTGAAAACCTACAGAAATAGAAAAACCTACCTACATCATACATGATGGTTCGCTTACATACCTTCTTCTTCACTCAGTAATTGGGCGGAAGCCTGTTGAGGGTCCAGAACAAGAAAGGAGTAATAAATAAAATAAAAAACAATCCCAATTATTAGGTGAAGAGGTCCAAATTTGAATTTAAACTCCCCCGCAATTCCACGAGACATTTTCATATCTAGAAATGAAGGTTTTGCCCTGCAAATTTTCTCAAAATGAATCGATTAATTTAACTTAAGGTAGGGAATAGCCTCAAAATCTATAGCATGCCAAAGGGCGCTTTCATCCTGGGAGTGGTTGGCACCCCATCTCGGGGGTTCAATTTTTTTATTGTAATTTTAACACATGAATAGATAGAAACATTAATTCTAAGCAAAAAGTGTTCTATACATTTTTTTTGGAAAGTTAATAATTCTCCAGTGATTCGCGACCGAAGGTATGGGTTTTTCAAAGGAAATATCAATGTTTTTAATTGGTTATTCGCGAAAAACTCGAAAAGTATGCATTTTATAAAAAACCTGTGGAAAACAAAATCGTAGCTTTTAAAAAAACAAAGAAAATGTTTTTTTTAATAATTGCTGAATGACCAATATACGAACCGAGTTGTGGCTTAGATTACCTCTTGTTCGTCAAACGCTAAATTAGAGTTTCATAGTCAAATAACGCCAAAACTATGCATTTCTCGAGAAAAACTTCTAAAATATTCTTTAAAGTATTTAAACAAACCTTTCTTCTTTTTTTTAAAAACAACCTTTAAGATGAAAAGTGAGTTACGATGAAAATAAGGTAGATTCGTACTTTTTTTTAGGGAAAAAAATCAGCGGAAGCAACCCCCTAATTACCACCCTAATTAAAATTAGTCCTGTCCCTTTTCCAGGTTTCTCTAATACCGGATTATTAATATACCTATTCTAGAAGTGTACCCAGTTTAGAAGACTTAATTTTGAAATAATTCAAGCTAAAAGGGAAAAACGAATTTCTGCAATTTTGTGACAAACGTCTTTCTCTTCAAAAAACTACAAAACAACTAGAGATATGTAAAACATGCTGCAGCCTCCAATTGTAGCTTTTTTAATTCCCAACATTTTCCTCACTGGCAAGTTTCTGTACGACAAAAATTAAGTGAGATATAGACGTTTAAAACTTGCATTTATATGCGAGCACTACCTTGTTTTAGCAGAGGTTTTAGCCCTTTAAGCTACCCCATTTCAAAACTAAGAGTTTTAAAGGGATTTGATGTAAATATAATTGTAGTTCTTGCAGAAGTCTACATAATGGTTTTTTAATACACTTTCTATTATAACAAGTTAAAAAGTAATCGTAAACGATTTACATAAAGCGCATTTCCACTTGCATTCATTTCCCATTTGTAAGATGCAACTTCTGTTAAAATCGTAAAAATTCGGCCACAAATATGAAAGATAGCGTTGCACATGGGCAATCCATTTTTGACGTGCTACTTCAATTTCAGTTTATGAGAAGAATTTCATTTCTATGCTTTTCTAAATAAGAAAATTGGAACTGCGCATGCGCAAACCTAAATTTTGAAACTAATGTTAGATTTTCCTTTGTTCCAAGCGCCTAAGTATCAAATTTCACTTAAATGCTTCCATAGATAAAAAAGTTGGCACTGCGCATGCGCAAAACCAAATTTCGAAACTGGCGTTTGATTTTCCTTTATCCCAAGTGCCTATGTATCAAATTCGTTTAAATTCTTCCATAAAGTTGGCACTGCGCATGCGCAAAACCAAATTTTGAAATTGGCGTTTGATTTTCCTTTATTCCAAGTGCCTATGTATCAAATTTCATTCAAATACTTTTATAAGTAGAAAAGTTTGCAATTCGGTTTATAAATGGTCGAGATGCGAAAAGGGCACTGTGAATTTTGAATCGATTCGATTCAACTTTTGGCATTGCGTATTATATGGCTAAATCTATGCCCATATTGAATTTCATGCAATTCAGTTCATAACTACGGAGATGTAAAAGCGATCGAACATAAACAAAGTTATCGTTCACACGGACAGATAGATGGACAGACAGACAAAGGAACAGACGGAGAGACCAACCGGCAGGCGACAGATAGCAATGCAAAATTATAAACGATCTCTAGGATCGTTAATAAACGGCAAAAGTGTAAAATTATGGAACATGTAAAAAACGGTTTTTTGTTTTTTTTACAATAACTTTTTTTGTAAGCGGTACAGAAAAAATTCCTTCCTTGGTACAAGACTCGACACCATAACGAACCAAATAGCGAAAAAAGTAGAACAATAGCTCTTAAGATAAAGAACTAGTAGCGTCGCAAAACGAGCGGACGGACGGACGGACGGACGGACGTGGCCACAATAGCGCATTTTTTTTTTATTTTTGTGGAAATGCGCTAAAAAGGACTAAGGACAATGACGTCGCGTCAAGCTGCAATAAATAATTCTGCCTAAATCGTTGCTTATTGCAATATAAGCCTCATAGTGACTTTGTGTACAGCTTGACAAGCTCCTTTTTAATTCATTGATTGATTGAAATGGGCGCATTTCTATCTTGGACCAACTTATATCCTAGAAAAGGCAATACGTTTATTTTGGGACTAGATATAATGTGTTTCGTGACCTTAAATGTCAGGTTCGAAATTAGCATTATTTAAAAGGTCACGGGCGTGAACAAATTCCTAGGTCATTCATACAGACCCGGAATAATTAATCGATTAAAATGAGTTTTAGTAAATAATAACAAATCTGGTGCACTTCGCTCCGAGGAGCAGGTAGGGCAAAGTGGCGAGGTACCTAAACAGTTTCATTGAGGAAATTGGATTTAGCTTAAGCAAATATAAAACTCCAATTTACGATGGGATTCCCAATGACCCAAATAACGTAAATCTGCAAGTTGGACGTTTGGATTTATGGAAGCATGGAAACTTTTATTATTGAGTCTCGCCGGAACTCTTTCTACTTATCAAATTAAATTCTATAACCCTTCATCATCCTGTTGACTGTGTCGCCTTAATATTACTTTACGAAAGTAGTAAAATGTCACGTGCTGACCTTATGTTGCAAAGAAGGTGTTCGTTGGTGCAAACTAAGAAATAGGTCACATATTCTACCTAAGCTTGACGTTTTTGGCACTCTAAATAAAGTAGCTACTGTGATCGCCTCAGAAGTTCGTGCTAGATATCACCTAAATTGTTGACTGCAAAGACGTGCTAAAGCTGCACGGTTTCGCAACTTGATAAATCCGATTTCTATTCCAGACTGAAATATTGTGGATTTTCGACGATTTGGTGGTTATTATATTGAGTTACTGAGTTTCTGTTTTGTGTTAAAGTGTAAAGTGTGTTTTGCCTCTCTATGCTTAAAGTCAGTAAGTTAACGTTCCATACGAGTAAATTGCGTGGTCGGTTAGAAATCAAATATATTATTTTCTGTTCGTTTGTGCTCAATTGTGAACAACTTCCACGTTTTCAGTATGACTTACAACTAAAAGACACATCTTTAAATTAACTTTACAACTGAGGGCCTGAATCGTGAATTGTGTTCTTTTTGTGCTCTGATTCCCAAGTTTTGTGCGTTCATATTCCACAAGATACTGAATTCAATTCCATTTCTAGTATTTTAGCTGAGTATTGTATTCTTTACCTACATGGCTCCGAATAGTGATGTATAATGTTGGCACAGATACTTAGCAAAGCTCACT